TTATCTGAAAGTAAGGAGTTGATTACACAAAGGGTCTGGTTTGATGTTTGATGCATGTAGTGCCTTTATGCACGAACACACTACTAAATATACACATTTAAAAGCTGTGACATAGAGTTTGTAATTTAGATAGTAAAAGGACTCTATATAAAATTTATAAAAGAAGAAAATGACTTTTAGCTTATTATCCTATATAATAGGTTATTAGCCTATTAAAAAGACTTATAGCCTATTTTATCCTTACTATTTAATATCGTAACTGTAAATTTTGTAAAAATTTTTCCAATCCCTTCACTATTCTAGTCGTCCCTGTTTATTTGACTTTCATTTACTTATCATGTTTGAATTTAGATAACAACTTATACCAAGTTATAAAAGTTTCTTGGTTTGTGTGACATTAAGTTTGTAATGATAAATAGTAAAAAGACTCTATATAAAATGTATAAAAGAAGAAAAAGACTATTAGCCTACCAAGTTATAAGAGTTTTTTGATTTGTCAACACAATGTACAAGATGATTATGTAATAAAAAATAATTTTATATAATAAACAATCAAACTGTAAAAGTTTGAAACAAATAAAAAAAATTTATAATAATTTTGCTATGGTGTATAATTATATTATTTACGTTATTTTAAAAATGTTATATTACAGTTTTTTCTTAAGCTGATAGTTCATAGTATTTACCAGTTGCAAATTGAACTTTTGCATAAAATGTGCGTTATTGGAACCCAGCTTTTAAATGTGTATATTCAAACACCATTTGTTAAAATTATATTGTTGTATATATCTTTATTAAAAAATAATTGCTTATGTTTTGTGCAAATTTTTGATAAAGCCTCGGAACACATTCATTTAAAATTTAATTTTGAGTAAAAAAAAAAATGTTTAGGAAGCAAAACCAAAAAAACAATTGCAATAAAAATGAGCTATTTTTTTAAGAATAAATAAAATATAAATATACAATATTTAGTATTATTTTTAAATAAATTTGACAGTTAAGTTAAACCCAAGCATTAATTTTAATTTCAATAAACTTCAATATTTTTTATTAAATCAGAATTAATATATATATATATATATATATATATATATATATATATATATATATATATATATATATATATATATACTATATATATATTATATATATATATATATATATATATATATATATATATATATATATATATATATATATATATATATATATAAAATATATATATATATAAATATTATTTAGTTGCGAAAAACCAGCCAGATTTTTTAGTCGTTTTGAGAACATTTCAAAAACAAACAAAAAAAGCGCAATAAGATTAACTGGACCGACAAGAGACAGTTAAAAAAAGAAAAATAGCTTTTAACGCGAAAAAACGCGAAGAGTAATTATTTTTGAAACCTCGCTTTTTTATAACTTTTTTTATAAAATAAAGCCATATTTTTTATATAAAGTAAAAACTATAAAGAAACAAATGTTCTTCTATTTATCAAAGAATATATATAATTTTTATTTATACATTTATGTCTTATTTCCAGTGCTGGGTTGTGGAGGTGGAGTGAGGGTAGAAGGCTATAGCCCCGGGACTCACAATGTTAGGGGAAATAGTCAAGGGGAACATGCGGTATTTTTTAAGTCATTTTTACGCTGTGGCACATAAAAAAGGCTGCCAAAATAATGCAGCCCCTGGCCCTGAAAAGTCCAACAAGATTCAACCTATGATTTATTTATAAATAAAAAAGTTTTTTCAATAACTGTTTTATGCTTCACGTAGTTTAAAAAGTTTAACACATTTGAAACAATTCTTCTTAATAAGATGAACAAATGAAATAATTAAATCATTGAGTTACTGTAGAAGTTCAATTAGCTAGATAAAAGTTAACAAAAAACGTTAAATTACTTTGTGAGGAGGAAGCGGAACTGCTTCACAATAGCTGATGATGTTTAGTGAGTGGGGTTCATAATTATAAGTAGTATTTAAAACAGAAAAAAGTAACTTTAAGTATAACGAGTTTGTAAGAATGGCTGAAGCAAAAATAATTGAAGTTAGTAAACCAATTTCTAAGAACTTGAAAACTTTTTTTTTTTGGGAGAAAGAATCAGTTATCGGGTACACTGAGGGAAACGGATTAGTGGTTAAAATTATTTGTATTAACTTTGGTGATTATTAATAATTTCATTGAAAATGCAGTTATTATTGAAAGTATTTTTGTTTACAAAATCAATCCACAAATTGCTTCAAAAGATTACATTTGAATAAAATACACATAGATAAAATTACATAAAAATACATTACATACATAAAAATACATTACATACATAAAAAATACATCCCTTACATATAAAAAATAAGAATATACTAATAAAATCTAAAATTTACAAAATGTTGACAAGTTAAAAAATATAATTTTAAAAGATTTATTATTGTAAACAAATAATGTCAGTTTAAAACATTTATAGCTTTGTAGATGTGGCTCCAAGAATTAAAATAATAGTTCGTTTGATAGTATACTCTTAAAATAATTTATGCTAGAAATCTCAACAAAAACGTAACAAAATTCAAATAATACAGTTTTAAAATATTTCAACAGAATACTCGGACATTCGGTTAGTTTTTTTGTAGATTTGGCGGGTCTTTTGTGTTTGCGAATATTCTTTTTTTATTTTTTCTAGGCTCATTCTAAGGTCACTTTCTAGATAAAAAACAATTTAAAATGGAATGATTAGTGAAAATAAAAGTTCTGTAATAAATCAATCTAGGTGTTGCTTTAATTGATAAGTTATAATGAATTGCTTTTAGATGAAGGGTTTAAACGCACAATGGAGTTGTTTTGGTGAAACATCCTAATAAGATTAACAAAGCATTTTGTTAATGGATATTTAAACTTATGAAAGGAAATGAAAAGGAATATGAAAACAAAAAATAAGCAGAAAGAGTTGACCTTTTCTCTTTTTTTATTATTGAGAAAGGGTAGTGCTCTGATTATATCTCTCAGTGAAGATCTAGAATCAGGAGTTTTGTTGTTGTTAAGTGAAGAGGAGCTAAATTATATAATTATTGTATTAAAGAGCTCTTAATACAATAGCTTGCATACATACAGAGCCGGTTAGCATACACCAGAGAGAGTTTTTATAGTTTTACTCCACTACAATTTTTTATAAAAAAAACTTATTCTGGTCTTATAACTAATTTTTATATACAATCAAAAAACTAAATCTTTGTCTTATCTTAAGATAAACTATCAAGGTTTCCTAGAAAGAAATAGATTGATGTGCTATATGTTGATCATCATTTTACATAAAAAACATTAATTAAAAATGATGCGTATTATGGTGTGGATCATAGATTTGTTGCATTATTTTTTTGTTCCCTTTTTTTATGATGGTTGTTTGTTATTTTCACTAATGTCATTTTCACTAATGAAAATCATTAGTCAGGAAGCATCACATTAGAAAAATGTAATGAAAATATCAATTAAGTTTGTTTTTTAATTGGATTTTTTAAGCTACTTGCATCTACTAAATAAAAATATAAGTAGTTTATTTCTACTAAATATTTAATCTGTTAATAACTTGTATTTGTCAGTATTGTTAGAAATGAGTTCATTATTTACACTAGAATTATACACAATAAATTTTATTCTTAAAAATGTTTGTGGAAAACTCTAAGTTTTTTATTTTTTCAGTTTCATATTTTTATTTGCAATGAAAATATAAAAGGAAGGCAATTATTTTCTTCACACAGCTTGTTGAAATTTTCTTTATTCAAAAATAATAAAAATTACTTGTTAGTTTTTAGTAAAATATAGTTATACATTTTTCAAAGTAACATGTAAGAAGATATTAGAAATATTTCAGAAATTTGCTGTGCTGTTGTAATATGTTTTTCATTTATTATTACTTATTCAAATATATTTTTCACTTAATTATTGTTTAAAAAAAATTGCTTTCATGGAGATTATAGGTTGCTTTCATTCCTTAACAAGATACATAAATAGTTATATTTATTAGCTTATCTTTTTTCTGAAATTGTGCACAAATCATTTTCTGCTTTCATTAGTTAATTTGGTTGCCCTATAGTACAAGGTAAAACACACATCTAATCATCATTGCAACCATCATTGATCTTTATTCTTCTTATCATAAAATAGGAACTCAGACACATATGTCAATATATGTAAGACTCAATTTTTTTACAAACATTTATGTACTAATAAATTTTTTACCAGTCTTCACCACACCCTACAGCTAGTACACCTTTTTGCCTTTTTCAGAAAAGTCTTTAAAACATATAATGAAATATTTATAACATTTTTCTCAATTAAAGATTCCCTTAATTAAAGATAGTTTTTCCTTAATTAAAGTTACTTGAAATATTTTCCTTAATTAAAAATTCCTAAATAAAAAAAAAATATAAAAATAAAATTTCCTTAGTTAAGTATCATCACATATAGAATTTTCAGCATAAAGGTAAAATTAGGTTTTTTTTACCTAGGATTGGAGCACATTGGATAACATTGGGAATTTTTTAAAACAATTTTCTACTTTTATTTGGGCTGTAATTTTTTGTCAAAATATTTTAAAAATTTTATTCATGCTTTGCCTATTCATCAGGTTTGGTAAACCTATTTTTATTAATACAAATTTGGTGGATATTATGTACACCAATACAAATTTGGTGGATATGATGTAAACCAATGCAAATTTGGCGGATATGATATAAATTCTGTAAATTCTGTATATGATGTAAATTGTGTAAATGATGTAAATTCTGTAAATGATGTAAATGATGTTAATACTGTAAAATCTTTATATGATGAATATTATGTAAATGATGTAAAATCTGTAAATGGTGTAAATTCTGTAAATTCTTTATAAGATGTAAATTCTGTATATGGCGTAAGCTCTGTATATAGATACTATATAGAGGATTAGGCACTATTCTATTTTTAGTAAATAAAGATAACTTTAACTTTTTTTTTTAAAATCTTAAAAAGTTAAAATAAACATGTCTCTTAATATGAAAAAGCAATTATGACACAATTTATAAAAAAATTTTATGGCGCGTGCAAAGGTCTTTTGCATAGTTGCATTCATTTAATTAGGGAGATTATGCACTATAGTATACATACATCCATTGACTTATATCATAATATATCAGTATTTTTTCATAGTTTTAGTTTATCACCCAAATTTTTTTGTTATCACCCAAATGTTCTGAGTGTTTCAATATAATAAAAAAACAGAAATAATTTTCATTTTTTAAAAATCATTATTGATTTTTTTTAAATATATAATTATATTTTTTTAATACATAAATAATATTTCTATATATATTTTTAAATTATATATTTCTAACTTCTTCTATAACGTTTGCTTATTTTTCTATTTTTTTTTTTTTCAAGATTAAATACTTCAAACTACAATTTTCTATTTTTTTTTTTTTAAGATTGAATACTTTGGACTACAGTTTTTGACAAAGAAGGAAAAGCTTCATTGGGTTGATCTTGATAAATGTCTTAGAAAACAGCTTGATCGACATAAAAGTTGCAAGGGGACAGAAGCTATACTGTTATTTAAAGTTCAATTTTTTGTACCTAATTGCTGCACACTTCAGCAAGAAATAACAAGGTTAGTAGAGTCTAATGAGAATCTAAATTATTAATAAACTTTGAAATATTCAAGTATCATTCAACATAATAGTTTATCAGTTTTAACCAGTTATTTTAGCCAGTTTAGAAAAATAGATTAAACATGGCATAGTTAATTTGTTTTGTTTTACCAAAAGTAGTTGTAATATATTTTATACATTTTTACCAAGTGACTAAACATTACTTTAAAAAAAAATGATTGACTTGACTGATGCAGTGTTTATTAAAAGCATGTACGGTTATAATAAGCAAGTCTATATAAAAATATATATATTTATATTTAACCATTCATTTTAACTCAGGATTGATTTTAAATTTTATATTATTATATATCATTCAATAAGCAAATTTTGTTTTTTAAAAAATATTATCTATCTTTTAAACCTATAAAATTTTTATTCCACCTTTTTATTTTATTTTATTTTACAAGAAATAAAATTTCTTGTAAACATTAAAAATATGTACAAAGCGTACATTTAGTTGTTGAAATACCACAAGTGTTAATAACACATTTTAATAACACAAGCCTATATCAATCATTTTGTTAAAAAAAAAAAAATAATAATTTTACATAAAACTGCCGGTAAAAAAAACTATTGCTCTGTTTTTTTTTTCCAATATTTAAAGTTTTTAGTTACTTGCTGACTTTTTTAAAAAAAAAAAAAAATTTTTATTTTCTTAAACATCTTTGCTTCCAACAAGGCTGCAAGCAACCACTATTAGAGTTGGAAGTTATTGGAAGACCAAATATGAAGATTGTAGAGCAAGATAACGATTGACAGACGACTTAAAAAATTGCAAATTATATGAATCAGGAAAGCAAGATGAAGGAAGCGAATTCCAAAAAATTGATGTTCGAGGAAAGAAACGAAACGAATAAGAGTTTTTGGAGCACTTAGGACTAGTAACAGAAAAAAGATGAGACTTAACTGAATGACGAGTAACACAAGAATGAATTTTAGTAGATGGCACAAGAGACACAAGCTTTGTAGAAAAGAGAAAGAGAAACAACATTGGGGCGATGTGACGATGGTTGGAGGTTGGCTGCAAGAGCAGGTCCAACTATGTTTACATTGTGTTTTTGCACCTTGTCTAAAAGAAAAATATAAATTAAAAAAAACAGAATCCAAGTAAATGCTTGATAACATCATTACACAATAACATTTCTACATTGTTTTAAGTTAATTAAATTAGTATTGTGATAGGTTAGTAAATTGCGGTAGTAAAAATTTTTTAACTACCACACTTTACTAACTAATTTCAAGATCTACTGTAGGTATATTGACCTAGGGTTTTGGTTAGGAAAGGCAATCTTTTTATTAAAAAATAGATTCAAAAAAGATTTTTTGTTTTATTTCTGTTTTTGTAGTGTTCGATTTAAAGTAACCTATTACAAAAAAAAAAAAAAAAAAAAAAAAACTCATTACCATGCATAAGTGTATCAAGCCTTCCCAGGAAAGGCGTGCGGTTTTTCGTCTTGTATGACCACATGCAAGTATTTTATTTTAGAAAACTTGGTCACGGCCGTTAAAAACTAACAAAAAAAAAAAAAAAAATTAAATTAAATTAGAAAAAAAAAAAAAAAATTTAATAATTTAAATAATTTGTGTTTTGTTTTTATTTTGTTTTTGTTTCTTTAGACTGGTTGTTCATTCAGCAACAAAATTAGAAAAGACGATAAAAAAAAAGAAGAAGTTTTAAGTCTACAATAAAAAGAATGACTTTCCTTTATTTAACTTTTTTTTTTTAAGAGGAAATCAAAAATATAAATTGCAATGTGTTTGTAAAATATATTTGTATAATTTTAATGTAACAATAAGGGTTGAATTAAGCGATTGCAAAATGCAAAATCTGGAAAAATATCTGGTATTCAAAATTTTATCTAATGCAAAGCTGTGTAATTTTTTTTCAAGGAATGATACAACTTAAATTTGTTAGCAAAAAATAAAAAATAAAACAAAAAACTTACGACTACTAAAGTAATAACACTCTAGTCACTAACTGCATTATTAAAGTAATAACACTATAATAATGTTATTACTTTTATAATGCACTTGTAACTTTTGTAATTCATTCTTTGTTAAATCAACATAAGAAATCACAAATTTTAATTGAAGTAGAAAAGCATCTAGAAGAATAGAATGGATATTCAAATAATATGTAAAACTTAAGTAACTTATAAAAACGTGACAAACAACTTTATAAAAACGTAATGTATAAAAAGTTAAGCATTATGAAACACGTTACTAATGGTCCTTAATAATGTGTGTTAATTTTAAAATCAACCAATTTTTATTGATTGATTTTAAAATTAATGCACGTTTTTACGAACTATTAGTAAGGTTTTTCATAAAGTTGTTTAAGTGATTTGTAAAAGTTCCTGAAGTTTTTAATATTTGAGTATCCATTTTATTTTTTCTAGATGCTTTTTTACTCTAATTAATGTTTGGAATTACTAATGTTGTTTGAACAAAGAATGAACTTTAAAAGTAATAAGTGCTTTATAAATGTAATAAGACTATTATAGTTTTATTACCTTTACAATGAGTTAATAACTAAAGTGTCATTACTTTTGTAGTCATAAGTTTATTTTGTTTTTTTATAAGTTAAATTAAAACTTTCTCGCTAACTTATAATAATTTGCTCCTTAAAAACAAAGTACACAGGTTTGCATAAACTAAAATTTTGAAGACCATATTTTTTCCAGAGTTTGCAAATCGCGATCGTTTAATTCAACCACTGATATATACTTGTTACATTAAAATTATACAAATATATCTTACAAACAGATGACAGAACATATTTTCGTTTTACTCTTTAAAAAAAACAAACAAATAAAATATAGGAAAGTCATTCTTTTTAATGTTTAAAACTTTTTTTGTTTTGTTTTTTGTTTTGACTTTTATGAATTTTGTTGCATGAAAATAATAACCATTATGAAGAAACAAAAATAAAAACAGTTGACAAATTATTTAAACTATTATTATTATTTTCTATTTAAGTTTATTTTAATTTCCTATTTTGTTATTTTGCTTTCTTTGTTATTAAAACTTTTTTCAGCAACGCATACAATAAAACTTGCAAACAGCCGTGACCAAGTTGTCTAAATTAAAATACTCATGCATGGTCATACAAGACAAAAAACCGCATGCCTTTCCTGAGAAGGCTTGATATATAGACAAAGATTTTTTTTTAAGTACCTAATAAAAGACAATTATCATGTTATAAGTTAATAATTGTCACAAGCAATTGTGTTTGCTTGTGAAATTGTTAACAGTGTGAGACATGGATGGGTATGGTGAATATAAGTAATGTAATAAATATAGTAAAAAAAAAAAAAAAAAAAAAAACATATATATATATATATATATATATATATATATATATATATATATATATATATACATATATACATATATATATAAATAAATAAATAAATAAAAAAAAACACGGTTTTAAGCATTAAAAAGATTGACTTTCCTATATTTTATGTGTTTTTTCTTTTAAATTGGAAAGAGAAAATATGTATTGTCATCTGTTTGTAAAATTATTTATTTTATATGTATAATTATAATGTAACAAGTATATATCAAGGGTTAAATTATATGATCGCGATTTGCAAACTCTGGAAAAATATTAGGTCTTTAAAATTTTAGTTCATGCAAAGATGTGTACTTTTTTTACAAGGAGCAAATTATCAAAAGTTTGCTAGCCAGAAAGTTACAAAAAACAAAACAAAAACAATAAACTTACGACTACAAAAGTAATAACACTTTATTCACTAGCTGCATTATAAAAGTAATAAAACTATAATAGTGTTATTACATTTATAAAGCACTTATTACTTGTAAAGTTCATTCTTTGTTCAAACAACATTATTAATTCCAAACATTTATATAAGTAGAAAAGCATCTAGAAAAAATAAAGCAGGTATTCAAATATTAATAAAAATTTCAGTAACTTTTACAGATCACTTAAACAACATTATAAAAAAGTACTTTATAAAAAGTATAATATTATGAAAAACATTATGTATAAACGCATGTTAATTTTAAAATCAACTAATAAACAATTTTTATTGGTTATTTTTAAAATTAACCAATAAAAATGCATTCTTCTATAAAGGAAATAAAAGATATCTTATTTTTAATTGCTATTGTATCTATGTGTTTAGCTAAATTCTAGTTCACTCTACTAAATTCTAATTCAATCAAAATGATGTGTGTAAAAGTACAGTAAAATAACCATTCGGTATTATTTGTGTAGAAGTATAGTGAAAAAGGCATTAGGTAGATGCTGGTGTCTAGTAGTATAATAGAGTAGACATTAGATGTTGATGTGCTTTCTTGTACTATTTTTTGAAAGAAATAATATTAGGGGTATTTTTATTAATATTTAATATTAGTAATATTATTTAAATAATATCAAATGACAATAATATTACTAAAATCACACAGACTGAGGAGGTTGAAGAAAACATCTAAATTTAATAATATTTTTTTACTTTTTCTTTTCTAACCAATATTCAAAAATAATTAATGCAATTAGCAACCAGTTTTCACTTTTTTTGAGTGCTTATTTAAATTTCTTTTATACATATAATGTTGTTACAAATGATAATTATTTGCTGAAATACTAATAAATCGTTTTTAAATAATTGGTTTTTTACCAATCTTTTAATAATTCTAGGATTGTAATTTTTTTTGTGTGTGCAGTTACCACAAGTAATTTCTTTATTTAACTTTAAAGTATTTTGCTTATGGCGTTAAGTAAAAAATACTCCATTCATGCTGAGGACAAAAACACGTTTTATGTTTTTAATATTATAAACTGTATAAAACAGCAAAAAAACAACATGCAATCTTGTTTTATATTAACACAAGCTTTTTATATTTATATTTATTTTTTTTAAATTATTTATTTGAAATTTCATGCTATATTTTTCTATACAATGTTCTTATATCCGAAGATATTGTTGGCTTAGCATAGGAACAGCCACAAATAGTCATTAAGACTAATCCAAAGTAGCATCCATTATTGACCAACATTTTTGAGTACAGAAGTAATCAAGCGCTGAGTTGGCAGTGGCAGGATTTACATCCGTATCGTACAACAATCCGCGTTTTAACTTTTTTGTTTGAGGCTCTAACCAACTGAGCTATCCAGCCACAACCAACTGAGCTATCCAGACATTTTATTGGTTATAGTGACAAAACAATCTTTCAGTATTATTTTATTGTTGTTTTATAAAACTTTTTAACATAACTATTTAATTTTCTTTTAAAATAAAATGTGTTTTATCATTGGTTTTATCAGTATTATTGAGGTATAAATCTCTTACAATCAATAGTATTTAGTTTGCACAAAAGCAAAACTTGTTACTTATTACACAATTACAATATTTTTTAAAATATATTTTTACAGATATGCAATCTACAGACATTCATCTCTTTCAAGCACATTTTATTTCTTAGAGTTTTAGTATATGATTTCAATGTTGATTTTTCACAAAGATTTAAAATGTAATCAAAAAGTTTAAAAAAATATTTTAAACTAGAAATGATTTATGCTCCTAGAAATGTACTTAGCTTGTAGAAATGTAAGCAGGAAATTAACACAAAGACTTTAAAAATATTGCTCTATTATTGTTTTTTATAGTTAAAAAGTTATTACCAAATAATTTTTATCTAATAATAAATTATTAAATTATTCTTTACACACGCACATATAATAATGTTCTGTTTTTTTAAATTAGGTATTAAATTGATTGAATTGAATGTTTTTTTAGGTATCTTTATTACCTTCAACTTAAGTCACTAATACTTAGTGGAAAATTGAAATGTAATCTAGGAATTGCTCTGAGACTTGCTGCTCTTGCTGTTCAAGGTTTTTTTTTCCATTTTTTTCCGTTTTTTTTTATATATGATTTTTTATATAAATATAACAAGTTTTTTTTATTTAATTTTAGTATTTAAGCAAGAATCGGATGTCCCAAAATGAGTTCCTGTTTGAAAGTCACAACATTATTTTTTTGATCTTAGGTGTAATGGAGCTTTGAAAATATTGAGAGCTTAAGTACTACATTTGGCAAAAAGTTCATGACATTTATGGTACAAGAACTCTTAGTTTTGAACCCATAATTCTTACGTAAAATAATGGTCAGGGACACTGAGAGTCTGGACTAAAAAATAATAGGTTCCAAAACTTTGAATCCGTTATATTATTTTATAAACATAGGTCTCAATATTTTTCAAGCTTCTCAACACCAGAGACCAAGAAAAAATATATTTTTAAAACCAGAATTCTTTTTGAGACTTTTCCATCCTTTATTTTTAATTTGTTAAAAAGTTTAATTTTAATTTTGTCAAGTAATTTTTATTGATCTTTTTTTTTTCAAATTAAAAAACTTAACAACTTAAAAAATAGCATATAATAACTATGAATTAATTAATATACTAAAAGTTAGATAATTACAATAATAATTTATAAGCATTTAAATATTATAGCTTTTCCAGATCATTAATAACAGCTGGAAATGCTTAAATATTATAATATTTAAGCATTTCCAGCTGTTATTAATGATCTGGAAAAGCACGCGTTATTATTAAAATCAATGATTACAAAATTTTACTAATGGTCCAGAAAAATGCACGTTTTTCTGGACCATTAGTAACCAAACTTAAAAAAAAAAACCAGATATTTTTCTATGCCTATGTACCCTTGCTAACCATGCCCTGTACTGGTTACTGCACCTTCTTAATTTACCTGGACATCTGTTAATTTGTTATATACTCTATTTTATTTATTTTAAAGATTGTGAATCTTTTCACTTATTAATTACTTATGTTCCTATTAAAGATAAATTACTAAAGCGAAATTCAAATATAAAATTACGTTTTTTATTTGTCTTTTTCTTATTTAAAACTGTTTTGTATTAACATCAGTTACAAAAACGCATTAATCAGACCAGTATTTAAAAAAAAAAAAAACTAATCAAAGAGCTGGAACTTTCCTTCGAAAGTAACAAAATGGCATTCAAAATTATGAAGTTTTTTAATAATACCTCTATAAATAATTTATTTTGGAAATTTTCATTAACTTAAAAATTATTTTTTAGTTATTGGGCTAATCTTAAAAAAACCTATTTAAAGTTTTTTTAAGATTAGCCCAATTTGTCATGGGACTCTTTAAAAGCCCCTTTAAAAGTCAATATTTAAAAATTTTGTTAGAAAAATACCTAAAGAAACTGCTGCAATATCAGTTGATTCAGTTTTCTGATCTATTACTAATTTACAACAAAATCCAATTTATAATTAAAAAAAAAATATCTAAATTAAAATATACTATCCATCTTAATTAACTGTTATTAACATTAGCGATTGCGGAGTAATTATGAATCATACTGCAGATAATTATTATATGAGACATTTGATGGGTTTTACCTAGGGTATAAACAGTAACCAACTGTAATTACTATAACAATCAACTGTAACTACACTCTCGCGGGAAGTGTGGAGTTTTCCTTCACACTCCTCCACATCAGTCTGTAGGCTTCACTCCTACATACAAATGTGTACCAGTTTTATACAATTGTGGAAAATATTGGAAATAAATTCAATAACTCTTTAACTAAAAAATCTCATAATATACCAATAAAAATCATCTCACAATTAAAAAAAAAAATTAACAAATGTCTTTAAATCTGGATTTACACATTTTGAAGAAAAGTTATTTTTGTAAACAAGTCAGCAACAGTTGCACTTTTTACAGTACATTTAAGTCCCGTAACTTTTAAAAAAAAAGCCATTAAAAAATCTTAGTTTGGTCAGATATTCGACAGCAAAAACATAAAAAGACATGAACAAAAACTCTAATGCCTCCATAAAACAGCTGCAACAGTCAGTGTTATAACTGTGCTGTCTGCCTTAATGTAATATCCACTAGATAGAATCTAATAGGAATATATATATATATATATATATATATATATATATATATATATATATATATATATATATATATATATATATATATATATATATATATATATATATATAATACATTTTATATATTATAGTTTAATTTTTAATAATTTATAATTTTATTACTATTTAATTATTATTATTTTATATAAATTAATTCATGTATTTTGAAAATCAATCTATGTTTGAATAAATAAACTTAAGTTTATTGATTCTGGGATGTCTAGTTGTTGAGGGTACTGGTTTACGATTTCCACAATCAATGGGAATGATGTGTTAATCTATGATTGTTGGTGGTTTCTTCTAACCTCCATGAGTTTAATTAGCTCTTCTTTGTTTTGGGTATTTGGTTGTTGTTCGTGTAGTAATCGAACAGCACTTTCAATATCATCACTAGTTGTGAGACCTATTCTATTAGTAGCTAGGCTACTGAAAAGATGATAGATAAAAAAAACTTATTGAAATTAGGCAAATTAGAAGTTAACAATTATTATAATTTTATTATCACCATCATTTATTAAATGAAAAAACATTTTAAATCTATTATTTAACTATTTGACAATGAATGTTTCCATAGTGTATTCTAACTTTCCACTAAATAATTTTCTATCGAAGAAGTATCCCTAAAGGTAACAAAAAAAAAAAAAAAATCATACACAGTTTAAAAAAGTAGTTAATTAATAAATATATTACTCACATAACCACTCACTGTTCCATCATGTAAAATACTCATTCCAAGAGACTGTGCATAATAAATAAACATCAATTATCTGTAACATGGTACCCTAGGCATAGAGGTGTAAAGACTGAGTGGAATTCAGTCTTTATAGTGATTTTTCAATTTATTTGAATTGTTCTTATTGCTTGCCCTACTGGCTACTAAATTAATCAGATTCGTTTTTTAGTTATGTATATTACACATTTAAAACAGTTCATCCTCAAATTTAATTTGGATGTCATTTTTTGTTGCATAGCATATTGTACAAAAATGACTGCCAAAGATAGACTCAACAAATCCAAGGAAGCCATTGAGAGCCAAGTTATCACAAGTAACTTGGCAAAGAGTTGTATGAATTGTACAACTACCTAAAATTAGGAATACTCCTTGTAATCCAATAGTGCTTAACTCCTGTATCTCATCAACAAATTTGCTTAAAATTGGCCCATGACCATAAATTGTAATATCATGAGTGTAACCCATGGCTAACAAGTGCACATTGCCAAAACAAGAGTTAAATGCATTTGGAAGATTATTTTATAGTGTAATATAAAATACCAATGTTATGAACAGAGCCTTGACTGCTCAATCTATTGGTTACACCTAAGCCACCATAAAACAATCAGATCATTAGGGAAATTTTGAAGGCATCACTAAAGAAGTAATGCTCTTTGAAATGACTTCTGTCTGAAAAGTCGGTTAATACATCAGTTCTGCGCTTTTTCTCCAGAAATGCTTTTACATAAGCCTCATTCTTTAACAAAACAAATAAAGTTTTTTTTATAGAAACTTATTGGAACTGATCATACACAAATTTGCTATGCCCACAATGAGACTCTGTTTGTGGTATATAACAAATACCTTCAGGTTGAACCATAAGAGGATGCCCTGCAAAATAAGAGTCAATGTGATAGTGTGTTGATAAAAAATCAAGAGGATTGTTGCATAGTTCTAATTTGGGTTGCATCTCTTGTAAAATTTGGTCAATAACTGCAAAATCAATACCAGCTAATAATAAACTTTTCTTAAATTCTTCTTTAAAGTAGCATGATAGTGATCCAGCCATATTATTATATGACTGGACAATCGTAGGTATGATACCATAAGGTATACTGCTATTTGCACAAAGTTGTGTTACAAGCAATGCTCTTTCAGCTTTAATATCCTGCAAAAAATCTAAAATATTTACAGACGAAAGTACATCGAGATTAGGAAATAAATCTTGTAAATGGTTATTACAAGGGGCATAGTTGTCGTGTACAAACAAATTATCTGGAGTTTCTTCTATAAATGCTGCTGTTTCATTAACTCTCTCTGTATTTATTTGGTTATATGTATTTAAATGTTCAATAAAATTAAACAAAACTGAAAACTAACTTTTGCACTTATCCTGACAATAAAATATTGGTATAGATAATTGTTGGTTGTCTTTATGCTGTTGTAAATGAACCCTTAACTCGGAAATATTATTTTAACCTTTATTGCAAAGATAACATAAAAACATTCTTAAAGTATGCAAACAATTATAACTTTTGTAACTATAAATACTCGAAATGATGGCTTAAATTATATCACGTGTTTCTCGCGCATTATTTTACTCCACACTAATGTGCAATCTTTTAATTTTTATAGAATTTTCACTTAACTCTAAAGTTTAACTTTCTGAAGCAATAACTCCACAAATTTGTGCAAATTACGGCCTCTACACTTAGTGTGGAATTTCAAGTTCACACTTTCAGCAAGAGTGTAAGTAAGTAAACTTTGACATTAATCAACTGTAGCTATGTAAGTAAACTGACAGTAACCAACTGTAAATACATAAGTAAACTGCGACAGTAACCATCTGTAAATACATAAGTAAACTGTGACAGTAACCATCTGTAAATACATAAGTAAACTGTGACAGTAACTATCTGTAAATACATAAGTAAACTGTGACAGATGTAACCATCTGTAAATATGTAAGTAAACTGTGACAGTAACCATCTGTAAATACATAAGTAAACTACGACAGTAACCATTTGTAAATACATAAGTAAACTGTGATAGTAACCATCTGTAGCAATTTCTAATAAGCACAAGTATGATGAAATAAGTAACAACAAAAATAAAAATACTTTTGTTGGTGAAAAAAAAGCAATGCGAAGATTGATGATAATGGAAATTATGATGATAATAATGATGACAATGATCAAAACCTAGCCCTGATTGATTACTGCTACAAAAATGGCTTTGGGGTTGTTTTATGTTGATCTGTGACTTGAATGCTGTAATCTAAAAGGTTTGACCGCTTTAGCCTGAAGCTCAGCATTGGACTTAGTAAATTATTTTGAAACTCATTAATAGATGGGTTATTTGTAGTAATTTACTAAACTTTAAAAAGTAAAAGGTTTTATGTATTGCATAATAGTTTTTGTGGCTTGTTTAAAAAATAAATAAATTATTAAGCAATACTGGAACATTAAAAAAAAAAAAAAAAAAAAAAAAACAACAAACAAACACATCTTTCTATAAAAATCTGTAAAAAAAATTCTTTCCATTCTGTAAAAGATAATAAAAAACTTGTTTTCTACAAAAGTAAGAAATATCTTTCTAAAAAAATCTGTAAATAAAATATACTTTCTAAAAAATTGTTATAAATTTTAAGTCTACAAATTTTTCCCATTTTTTTATTTTTGTATTTTTTGAAGCTAGTAAAGAAATAATAAAGAAATAATAAAGAAATAATCACTTTTAAAAATTGATAAATTAAAAAATATAAAAAAAGCAGCAACAGCAACAACAACAAAATAAAAAAACAAAAAAAGAAAAATCTAAAACACTTAATAAGTATTACTAAATAAATAAAGTTGACTTAATAATTTTATGCTTTTTTTTTATTTTTTTATATTTTATGCTTTTCGAGTGTTTCGCAAAAACTGTAAGAACAATTTTTTTTTATAAATTAAAATGTTGATTTGCACAATTACCCACTTGCACCATTACACATTTTACACAAAATACTTTCAACATTGGTTTTATGGACTCATGATTTAATTAACTTGACAATGCTGATTTTTTTTACTCAACATCAAGTCTACTTAACTAATTTTTGGAAGTTGCTATCAAATATTTTTTTGCTATATTTGATTAACTTTTTTGAATAATGTTTTATGTACATGATGAATGACATTGTTTTGTTTGCTTTCTTTTGTAGCTGAGTTAGGTGCAAATGAAACTACAGAAAGTAAAATTCAAGATCTTGATCAGTTTATTTTGTTACCATTTGTAAGTTATCTTTGATAAAATAAATTTAGAAAAACCTTGTTTAACCACCATGTGTTACCTAAGCAAAAATAGCGAATTTTTAAAACGAGTAAAAAATAATTTATATATTTTTAGTATTTAACACATAAAGAAGATGAAAACAGACTACATGAGGAGGTAAAATTTATTTTTAAATATTTATTGCAATTGCAGTATTAATGCCCACAAACGGTAAAAATTTTTTTTTTTTTAAAAGAAAATATTGTAATAATTAAATTATTGTAAAAAATTAACATATGTGTTTATGTATATATATATATATATACATATATATATATATATATATATATATATATATATATATATATATATATATATATATATATATATATATATATATATATATATATATATATATATATATATATATATATATATATATATATGTATATATATATATATATATATATATATATATATATATACATACATATATATATATATATATATATACATATGTATACATACATACATACATATATAAATATATATATATATATGTATATATATATATATGTATTTACATATATATATGTATATATATATGTATATATATATATATGTATATATATATATATATATATATATATATATATATATATATATATATATATATATATACATGTATATATATATATATATACACTCTAAAAAAAATCCCGTTAAAATCAACGGAGTTGGTTACGGAGTACTCCCTCATTTTAGCACCAACGGAGTACTCCGTTAATTTTACAGAGTAATAATTTAACAGATTCTATCCGTAACTCTAATGTAACAAATTACTCCGTAAATGTTAACGGATAGTTCGTTGAAGTTACAAAATACTCCGTAACATAAAAAAAACTATTTTGTTTATCATGAAAAATTGCTGAAATAAAACAGTTATAGATATTTTATTCCGTATTATTTTTGCAACAAAGTACTCCTATAAACTTAACAAACTAATTATTAGTGTTTATCTAAAAATTAGTTTAACTGATTTGTATTAGAGATGAGGGTTTTAGACAACATAAACAGCAACAAAACATTTATAAAAATAAATAAAAATAACACGCTGTAACAAAATTGTAAATCTTCATGTATATTAAGATAAATAAATGATACATTTAAGTAAAAAAAAATTTAAAGAGTGTTGATCGCAGCTCAACCACTCCATTAGGCAACGAACCGTACTGCAGCCCATAAATATCTTGCATAAACTGCCAGAACATAATTGTTGATGGCTGGTATTCGATGTTAAAGCACTAAAAAATCTTGAATAAATGATCGATGCCTTCTACGATAGATGTGCCGGCTTCAATCAAAGTTTTTTCAAATGCAATCTTTATAGAGAGAATTTTTTCACCCTCAATCCCCTGTATTAATATTACCGGATAAGGGACTCCAACTTTTCTGCAACATCTTGCAGTCCATGCTCAGCCTAAATTTGCAATGAAACTTTTGTTATCTTGGTTACAATATTATTATAAATTGTATTTATATATTTATAAATTATAATTTTTTTTTTTAATTTTATTTAAAACTTATGTGCGCTGTAAATCAACTAAAAAACAATTTCTTACATGCATATCCGAATGATTTCATTGGCTACTTCTTGAGCAGAACGTTTCTGTTTTCTCCCTTGTCGCAGAAGCGAGCTCAAAATCTTGCATGCATAATAAGCTTTCCAATCTAAAACAAATATATAAACCATACGAAAAGGTAAAAGTGCCAAACATACAAAGGTAATTTTATGCAAAGTATTTGTGAACAAAAAAAAAAGAATATCTTTAATAAAATTAATGCAAACCATGATGTTTTTTAGGTGCCATTATAGCTAGAGCTTTGATGTAATCACTATTTGACAGTGAAGCATATTTTAATACTGGGTCTGCAACAGTCTGATTAAAGGTTTTGAGGATATCAACCATGCAGTCTGAATATTTTAATTGAAATTCCATATCAATCTAAAAATAAATATTTTTGAATACAATGCCTAAAACTGTATTAATCTTATCAATTTAATTGCTATAAATCATTTAATAAAATCTATCTGTGCAATTAAAATCTATCTGTACAATTATTTTATTATCACTTTTACATGTATGAATATTATACACTAAAGTTTGATATCTGATAAAAAGAGCCTCATTATAAATAATTTTGACAAAAAAAAATTATCAGCTTTGGAATAATCCTGAACTTTAATTTAACCATCATTCGGGATAATGAAGGTTGATCTGTTAAATGAACCCAATTCTGCCGAAAACAAAACATTGACTTTGTAGAAGCCTTAACTTCTTCTACACGTGTAGAAGATAGTGAATTGAAGCTTTTCAATTTCATCGAGGTTGCTCATTCCTGAAATTAATTCAAATAAAAAAAACACAGAGCAACAATATAGATATTAAAATATAATCAACAATAATTTTGAAAGACCTATATTACTAGGTCTTTTTTTATTTTATCTTACTTAGTAAAATTGTTAGCAACAAATAATTAGTAAATAATAAGTCTTTACAACATATATGTTTTTTATAACAAAAGGTTTTTACAACAACTTTACAGATATAGATAATTAGATAACCTAAACATAATGTGCAAAACATGAAACCACGGGACACTCTTCAGGTTCTACTGCATGATCCACTGGTTGAGATAGTTCAGTACCTGCAAGTTGAGTTGTATCACAACAAGTTGAGTTGTGTCCCCTTTTACAAGACCAAATAAACTTTATTTCTGATCCTAGTATACAAAAGAAAATATAGCTTGTAAATGTAGCTGCTTGCATGACAAAAAATAAGGCAATGATTCAAATAAGCTTTTAGTAACTAAAATGAATTATTTGCAATCGAGGCATACAGTGGAGAAATTACATCACAATAACACATAACAAGGAGATTACAAAGCAAGTTGCTAATATAAAAAAAAGTTGGTAAGCATCTACAGTTAAATTTATATTCAATTAATTTAACTAATTTTAATAAACACCAGGTAACTTTCTTCTAGCATTTTCCAATCCTCTCTCCAGGAAGCCATGATAATTAGTAGAATCATAAAAAATGCATGCTGGAAGTACCAGTGCCTCACTTAGCACTGCTGCCACTAAAATCTTTTGATATCTATCAGGATAATTACACACTCATCCATTTGTGCACAACAACTCGAATGATGTGCTGTCTAGTAGAGATTGAAACTCTACCAGATTCAATCTCTTCAGTATATTGACAAGTACTCTATAAAGTAATACATGATATTGCTATTCATTAAAAAAATGTTCACAAAACCTTGAAAACTATTATTCATTAAAAAAATGTTCACAAAACCTTGAAAACTATTATTCATTAAAAAAATGTTCACAAAACCTTGAAAACTATTATTCATTAAAAAAATGTTCACAAAACCTTGAAAACTATTATTCATTAAAAAAATGTTCACAAAACCTTGAAAACTATTATTCATTAAAAAAAAGTTCACAAAACCTTGAAAACTATTATTCATTAAAAAAATGTTCACAAAACCTTGAAAACTATTATTGCTAAAAAAAGCAAGTAAAGTAAAATTATTGCTAAAAAATTATTACGTAAAAATCAAGTACAACTATGTATGTAAAAACTATTCAAGTATTGTACTTACAGGGTGTTGCGCAAGAAAGGCTTTAATCGAATTAGCTGAAACAAATGCCTCATTTGCACCTTTCATTATATGGCTGTTGTTAACAGAAACACTAGATTCTTAGAGCGTAATACTGGAAGTTAATGTAGTTTGATTTGGCTGCAATGAAGGCAACACTAATGGTGAATTTGATTTTGTCTGTATTAAAACAAATGATTTTTTTTAAATTTATAAAAACAGTTTATAAAGTTAAAACACACTAGAAAATGCTAATTTCAAAATATTACAAAGTATTTATAATGAAAAAAAGTTTGTTAAAGAATTTACACAGTAGTAGTCTTTAGTTGTAATTTAAATTGATTTACCGAAATAGCATTAGTCTACTGCTGACCATCTATGAGTAGAATAAGAATTGTGTTTGATTCTGCTAAATGTTTTATTATTTCAAAATCAACTTCATCAACTTCTGTGCCATCATTTTCGTAGACAAAGCCAACGAGTTGATCTGATTTTAAACCAAATTTGCAATGCACTGGAATAACAATACACAGTCATTTAGCTTTTTTTATACACAACACAAAAAAATTCAGACTAGTTAAAGTGAACATATATGAATGCACAGTAATAACTTCATATACAATTAAAAAACTATACATATTTAATAACTAAAGGTTTATATATTTTTCAGTTTGTAATGCATAAATAAAAAAACAATCAATATTTCTACTTTAAATTTTTATTCTAAAAAATTGTGTATCTCAGATTTACAAAGTTGCTGTATTTGCCGTCTTCTCCGGCTATACATTTGACATTGTATGGATGATAGTCTTTGAGCTGATTTGTATGTAAAACAAGCAGTGTATTTGGATTGTTAGATTTTTTAACTTCAAAAGAATGAAAATGTTCATGAAAATGTATAGTTTCGAATGGATAGTATACAAAGTATAATTGTTTTGCAAGAGAAACAATGCGTTTTAGCTCTCCAAACTGAGGATGACTTTCCACGATGCCATGACACAAAACACAACCCGGCTTGATTTCATAACAGCCAAATTTTACTGAATGAGCAACATATTTTATCACATTTGTCCACGTTTAAAACTGTGCACAAACTATTTGATACTGCTGATTGCAAATTGCCTACAATTACTGTATCACATATGCCAATTTGTACATAGTCTGTATACAAAGACCCACTAAACAATGTATTTGCTAGTTTGAGTTGACTACGATGCATAACAGTTTTGCAAAT